GTGATGTACTTCGCATATCTGCTATCACAAGCAATCAGTTTTTAACGTCAATATGAGAAAATAACTTTTAGTAATAATCATAAAGTAAAACAAATAAAACCTTACTCTTTTGGTTGCAGTTTGATACAATAATATTTCATGTAAATGTCAAGTTAGTGATAAGTAAACTTTAATAAAACTGAAATGTCCACAAAAGAAATGTATTAGTTCGGAAGGGCATGGTGGCTCATGCCTGTAATGGGAGGCTGAGGCAAGTGGAACACCTGAGGTCAGGAGCTCTAGACCACCCTGGCCAACATGGTGAAACCCTGTCTCTACTAAAAATATAGAAATTAGCTGGGCATGGTGGCAGATGCCTGTAATCCCAGCTACTCAGGAGGCTGAGGTGGGAGAATTGCTTGAACCTGGGAGGCGGGGGTTGCAGTGAGCCGAGATAATGCCACTGCACTCTAGCATGGGAGACAAAGTAAGAACCCCAAAAAAAAAAAAAAAAAAAAAGAAATCTATTAGTTCATTCTCACACTGCTATAAATACCTGAGACTGGGTATTTATAAAGAAAAGTGTTTTAACTGGCTCATGTTTCTGCAAGCTGTACTGGAAGTATAGTTGCTTCTGCTTCTGGGGAGGCCTCAGGAAGCTTTCAGTCATGGCAGACGGCAAAGTGGGAGCAGGAGCAAGAGAGAGAGAAGGGAGGTGCTATGCACATTTAACCGACTAGATCTTGTGAGCACTCACTCATCAGAAGAGCAGCACCAAGGGGATGGTGCTAACCCATTCATGGGAAACCATGCCCATGGTTCAATCACCTCCCACCAAGCCCCATCTCTAACACTGGGGATTACAATTCAACACGCGATTTGGCGCAGACACAGATCCAAATGATAGCAAGAAACAACTAAGACAACAACTAAATTGTACCACTCATGTAATGCTTTATTTTCTTGATTCATTCCTTAGTTGTTGTTGTTTTTTTTTAATTAACAACAAACGGAATAGCCAGGCATGGTGGCTTATGCCTATAGGTCCAGCTACTTGGGAGGCTAAGGTAGGAGGGTCACTTGATCCAAGGGGTTTGAGGCTGCAGTGAGTTATGATGATGCCACTACACTCCAGGCTGGGTGACAGAACGAGACCCCATCTCTATTTTTTTTTTTAAAGAATAAATTTCAATTAAAGACATTACTCATATCCAGTAAAACAATTTGTCTGTGAAACAAATTTGCACTTATCAAAAATAATACATTTTGCTGTTTCCTTATTTTAAATTTTACACATCATAAGCCACATAGAATGGCAGGATTGAAGTAACTCAAGTTCTATTCCTCAGACACTACATTTGCTATGGTATTGTTTATGTTAAATCTGTTCTTGAAATGCAGGTATTTATATTTAGGGATTGGAGGCACAAGGTACATTCAAAGTGAGTGCTAAAGATTCTTAACCCAGCCAGGGACGTTGGCTCTCGCCTGTAATCCCAACACTTTGGGAGGTCAAAGAGGGCAGATCACCTGAGGTCAGGAGTTTGAGACCAGCCTGGCCAACATAGTGAAACCCTGTCTCTACTAAAAATGCAAAAAATAGCCAGGATTGGCAGCATGCACCTGTAATCCCAGCTACCTGGTAGGCTGAGGCACAAGCATTGCTTGAACCCAGGAGGAGGTGGAGGTTGCAGTGAGTTGAGATTGTGCCACTGAACTCCAGCCTGGGCAACAGAGTGAGACTCTGTCTTCAAAAAAAAAAAAAAAAAAAATTTACTCTCAAAATAAATGCATTTAGTTGAGTGTTTGTATGAGACAGAGACAGAGAGAGAGACAGACAGTGACAGAAAAGCAGAGATATTAGGAGGACAACACAGAGTCTTTTCAATGATCTTCCACACAGAAAAAAATGGTGAAGAAAAATAAAAATGTGCAAATTTGAAAATTGCATCTGCTTTGCTAAAATTTCAGCAATAATCATGAGAATTTTTTATAATTTAGAACAATAATTTTTTTTTCAGATAGAAGCATTTTATCACTAAGCACATGACAGTAATAAAAAGCAGAAATACGTTTATTCTGGCTTTATCATTGTTTTAAAATATCTAACGATGATGCACAGCTAACTCTTTACTGCCAAGCAAACTCTACCCATCGCCTGGTCCTTGGCATGCCGCTCAGTAGAAGTCAGAGAATCCCCTTTCTTCCGCTCCAACAGAATCCCAGTCAGGGAGAAAAATGACCAATTTCTTTCCTTCCTCCCTCCCTCCCTCCCTCTCTCTCTCTTTCTTTCTCTGCCGAGCAAACTCTACCCATCACCTGGTCCTTGGCATGCCACTCAACAGAGATCAGAGAATCCCCTTTCTTCCACTCTCCAACCGGGGAGAAAAATGACCAATTCCTTCCTTCCTTCCTTCCTTCCTTCCTTCCTTCCTTCCTTCCTTCCTTCCCTCCTTCCTTCCTCCCTTCCTTCCTTCCTTCCTCCCTCCCTTCCTTGCTTCCTTCCTTCCCTCCTTCCTTCCTCCCTCCCTCCCTTTTTTTTATTTCTTCCTTCCTTTCTCTCTCTCTCTCTCTCTCTCTCTCTCTTTCTCATGGAGTCTCGCTCTGTTGCCCAGGCTGGGGTGCAGTGGTACAATCTCAGCTCACTGCAACCTCTGCCTCCAGGGTTCAAGCGATTCTCCTGCCTCAGCCTCCCGAGTAGCTGGGATTAGAGGTGTGGACCACCACATCCAGATAATTTTTTTGTATTTTTAGTAGAGATGGGTTTTCACTATGTTGGTCAGGCTGATTTTGAACTCCAGACCTCAGGTGATCCACCCGCCTCAGCCTCCCAAAGCTCTGGGATTACAGGCATGAGACACAGCACCCGGCCTGACCAATTTCTAATATAAGGTTATTGCAGGCTGGGCATGGTGGCTCACACCCGTAATCCTAGCACTTTGGGAGGCTGAGGTGGGTGAATCACCTGAGGTAAGGAGTTCAAGACCAGCCTGGCCATCATGGTGAAACCCCATCTTAAAAAAAAAAAAAAAAAAAGAAAGAAAAAATTTAAAAAAAAAAAAAAAAGGTTATTGCCTTTGTAACTTTGTATATTATTCCACCCAGTTAGGATAGAAAGACTGTAGCATAAATCCTATAACCTCAGGGGCCTGGGACAACATTATCCCAGCCTGGCTCGGAAAGTCAACCGGCAGGCTTAGGACTTTTCTTTGACATAGGGACACCAGTTAGAGAATTCTTACAGAAGCTGACTGCATTCCAAAGTCCTCCCTGAAAGTTACCTAGCTTTGTTAAACATTATCTGGTGCCCCTTATACCTCCTTATTCCTCTCCCAGGTAAGTTGAATTCAAGATATCAAATTGTGCCCACTTTTTCGTGGACCTCATGGTCTTTCCAAATAAGCTCAAAGTCACAAGATGTTTTGGACGTAGAAAATGGCCTAAGGATGGTCCAATTTAATACTCAGGGGTTTGGGTCAGAGACAAGTCATGCAGTGTTAAAGTAATGCTTATGTATGCTGTAATGCCAGTGGTCATTAGGTAATACCCCATGCCTAGGTGGACTTAACACAGACTTGACTTTGCTTTCAGTAGTTGGCACTGATCCATTACATAACATTTTGGATGTCAACAGTCAGGATTAAACTATGCCAAAGCATATTTCACCCCCATAAAAAAAAAAAAAAAAAAAAAAAAAAAAACTACTTGCAAGTCTGCATTCCGGATGTTTCTAATAAACAGGTATAATGTGATTATCTCTTTAAAACAAATCTGTGACTAAATCTTCCAGAATTTTATGACTGGGGTTTTTTAGTTTCTAACTCTTGTGTTAGGATTGGTCTAACACAAATGAAAGACTGAATATATATATGGACAATGACCAGATCATATATGGTAAAATATGAAAAAAGACAGAAAAGAGTCTTAGTAAAAACCACTGGTTTGGATTTGATTTTGTGAGTGTGTTGTATGTCTTCTGCTCTTTGTCATTAAAGACTAAAGCCTAATTAGAATGAAAAGTAAACTGAACAATAACACACTACTGCTAATTATAATAATCATCATAGCTAATTTTGAGTATTTACCATATGCCAGACGCTGTCCTAAGAATTTTTTATTCAACTTAATCCTAGAAAAATTCTTATGAAGTTGGTATCACTTATTACAGAATGCCAACCTACAAGTTTTGTGACAAGGAACTAACCTGAGAAGTCAAACCACAGCCTCTGGAGTAATCAGCTTAAAAGGTCAGGAGTTGGTCAGGGACTGCCAGCTTCTCTTCCCCCTCCCCAACTCAGAGCCCACCTGAGAAAGCCCTAAACCAATCATATAAGAAGCTGTCCTTCTAGATGACCTGCCTCCAGCTCCTGCATGCCAATATGCTCCGAGCAGAGCACAACTAAAGTCTTTCTCTTCCCGCTATTATTAAGTATAATTGCATGGGTCAGAGTTAAACAAGCAAGGAAAACTTTATTCAAGACTACTGCATTAGAGGTCAGATGTGGCGGCTCAAGCCTGTTATTCTAGCATGTTGGGAGGCCAAGGCAAGTGGATCATTTAAGGCCAGCCTGCACAACATGACGAAACCGTCTCTACTGAAAATTAAATAAATAAATAAAATATTCTGGTGTGGTAGCATGCACTTGTACTCTCAGCTACTCAGGAGGCTGAGGCAGGAGAATCGCTTTAACCAGGAGGCAGAGGTTGGGTTGCAGTGAGTCAAGACTGCATCACTGCCCTCCAGCCTGGATAACAGAGCAAGACCGTCTCCAAAAACAAAAACAAACAAACCAAACAAGACAAAAAAAGGATTGCAACGGGGGAGAGAGATTAAACTCCAATTCTTTGAAACAAAAGGTGGGAACATTTTAAGCATTAAGGTGAGAATGTTAAAAGGGACATTGGTCAATGTGCTTATGTCATAAATGTTTGCTGATTGGCACTTTGAGAAGTTGGGCTTCCACCCTCCCACAGAGATTGAAAGTTAGAGTTGTCTGGTTTTGCTTGTTTGGGTTTTTTGTTTTTTTTGGTAATTACATTTCAAAAGGATGGCTCCTAGGTCCTTAAGAAAGACTTACCCGGATCTTTCTTAGATTTATATTTCAAAGGAGCAGATAAACAATTTACAATCGAAAGTCTTCTAAAGTAAATGCTCTAAGAAAAGGGAAGTCAGGGACCTACAGTCAAGAAGCTTATCTAAAATTTAGCAAAACTGAGGAACTGGTAAGATCATCTTGGTCACTATAAAGCTTTCCTATTGCCCTGCCTGCCTTCGCTTCTGGCTAAGCACAAATGATGTTGTCTGACTCCCATACTATACCTAGCTCTGCAAACACAGCCTCTATTTGTTCTACTTTTGGGACGGCTGCAGTCTCCTCAAAGTTTTCTTGTTCTTTTTTAACATTAGAAATCTAAGTTTGAATTTGGTTAATTCCTTGCTTTGAAGATAACCAAGTCTTAATGCTTTGTTTGTGACTGTTGGCTGCATACTGCCTGAAAACCGATCACAACTTCTTAGTCTCTCCAAAGTAATCTGGACTTCGTTATCTTCAACTAGAAAAGTAAATTCACAGATTTGCCCTCCCTAATTACAGAGCAAAGTACTGGCTGCAGTTATAGAGATGTCATGGTGTTCAGGAGTCACAGCCCTTTGTTAACTTATCTGAATCAGTTGATTCAAATTCTGGCTCCACCTTTTTCCCACCCCTTACAATTCATCATAAGTGGCTGACAAGTCCTGACTCAGCCTGTAGAGGTGTTGCAATTGTGCAGTGTGTTAATGACTTCCTGACTTTTCACCCTTACAAGAGTTTGAGAATGTATTATTTCATATTCCTAGATAATGAAATAGTCACATTTCTGAAATAGTTTGAAATCCAATGATGAGTCAATGGCTCATTGGGACAACCTTTAAAATAATAAGGCTCTTTAAAAAGACACTATAAAGCATCATAGAGCTCTCTTTGCCAATTTACCAATTCATATCTACTATCTTTCACCCTCCTGTTATCTTTAAATGTTTTCAAATTTCTGCAAATTATTATCTTCATGACATTGTTAACAATTAATAGGGAATACAGAATAAATAAACTTTTTGGTTTTGGTAAGTGACAAAATAGAACACAGAACTAAAAATGAGAATATGTCAATGTTTCTCAAACTTTAATGTGAACCATCCAATGATCTTGACAATGCAGAGTCTGATTCAGCAGATTTGGAATCGGGCTTGAGATTCAACGTTTCCAAATGCCTTCTTGGAGATGCCCAGGTTGCTGTTTCACAGAAAACATCTTGAGTAGCATATGTGTGTTTATATAAAGACAATACTCAGAAAATATACAGAGGCTGCATTATTACTACTTTATATAGTTTATGCTTAGAAAAATGTAGGTATATACGTAGGTATATACACATGAAAATATAATAAAATAAAGCCATCTTTGGCTGGGCATGATAGCTGAGGCCTATAAGCCCAGCGTGTTAGGAGGCCAATGCAGGAGGATTGCTTGAGTCCAGAATTTTAAGACTAGTCTGGGCAACATAGCAAGGCACTATCTCTGTAAAATAAAAACAAAACAAAACAAAACAAAAAACTCATACTTGAAACATGCCAAATATTAAAAGAGATTTGGGGTCATCTGTACATTTTGTTTCTTTAATAATAATTTTCTTTTTCTTCATAATATTTCCCTAATTTTATGCAGTGTGTATAACTTTTTCTTTTAATAAAAAGTTTGTTTTTTTTTTTTTTTTTTTCAAAGCAAAAAGCCACATCAAGTTTTATCGTCATGCACTGGTAACGTCCAACAAAAATAAGCAGCAAGTCAAATGTAATTATTCCTGAAAGGAAATGATGGTTGTAAACCAAGAGTTTTAAGAGAGGGTGACACTTGCCTGATCCCGGTAACTATGCAATTCTGACATTTGTCTTATGGTCACTGGAGTGGCTTCTGGAAGTCTTTGATGTGGTTCATCCACCAAACACAATTTTAGATAATCTTATTTTTCAGTGGAGTAGACGTAAGATCAAACAGCCAAGGCCCAGCCATTCTCAGAGATTTCTTAGTATTGAAGATGCCCAATTCACTTTGGATGCATTCCCAGGTCACTTGTAAATTGGGTAAGATTTCTCAGGCTCTTCACATGACAGGGTTCTGCTTGGATGAGGAGCACCTGTGAAGCAAATTCAACAGTATTTCGACTTACTATTTTTTGTTTCCAGTGAGAAGGAAATCTGTAAACATGCTGTAGGCAATTAATAGGGAAGTTGAATAAGTGCTTTAAAAATAAATTTTCATTGCTTGGAACACTGTGAGGAAAGGAAAAAAAGTCACTTAAAATGAACTCAAACATATTTGGTTTAAAGGAGTTAAGCTAACTTGACTAAGGGCAGTTTTGGCTGAAAGACAAAATGAAAACAAATTGTCTCTTCTGCTTCTCTAGACAACAGGGTATCAGATTTAAAATCCCAGAGGGAAAACAAACTAGCCTGACAAATCAAAGAAAGTATTCAAATCTATCTGCCCAGACTAAGTGGTATGTAAAATCTTTTCATACCACTTAGTTCTGGGCAGAAGGGAGCTTTGCTCAAAGAACTAGGGTACATATGCTTTGTTAAGCATAGTATACCTTAGTTCTTTGAGCCTTAGCATGAGTCCCTACATAAGATGTGAATGTCATTTCTAAGGAATTTAAGAAATATACTTGCTGATCCATTAAAGCTTGGGAAAAGCTAGAAATAAGTCCTTTCTTTCAGGAGTACGCAAGAGTCTTACTAAAAACCACTGGTTTGGCTTTCAATGGATTTCTTGTGTTATACGATTCCTGCTCTTTGTTACTAAATAAAAGACTAAAGCCTAGTTATGATGAAAAGTGAGCTAAATAATAACCATGCTAATAATAAAAATGTAACTAACTTCAAGCGTTTATTGTATGACAGGCAGGGTTCTAAGTATTTTCATTTAACTTAATCTTCTCTATGAAGAGATACGAAAAATCTCTATGAAGTTGATACGATTTATTGTCCCCACTTAATTAATCAGGACACAGAGGCATACAGAGATAAGGCACCTTTGCCCAAGGACACACAGTTAATAAAGAGGTAGAGCCAGTTTTGAACCCAGGCAGCTGAGTTCCAGAGCTTGCCTCCAGAGAAGACAACTGAGTGATGCTACTTACCATTTTTGGTTATTGTGAAAGAGACTTTTTTTGTTCTCCATATTCAATGATCAGTCACCTGGGGCATGTGATGATTCAACCGAATTAATAAACTCAGGTCTGAAACTTACATGCCACGCAGGTTAATCTCACACTGGAGTCAAGCAGGTTGTTAGGAAAAGAGATTCATTTTAAGGGATAAAACTTTTCTACTTGTCAAGCAGTTTTAAACACAAATGAGTTCAGATGCTGAATTCCTCTCCCAAGTGAGGGTCTCACAGGCCTAAGAACTGCTAATGATGATTCTCCAGGCAAGAGGCCTTGCAGGATTCAGGAACATCAAGGTGATTCTAGTACTTTTCATAAACATGAGTTAGAAACCTAGGATATCCTCAGTCATCTTTTGACCCCTAAATAAGGGTCAGATAAGTCCTTTAATGGCCACCCCAAACCTTTAGGAGGGAGAGGATCATATTCTTCATTCACTTAGCAGCCATAAGCAATTACTAGGGGTGTCTTATCTATCTGGCCTGCCAGGAGACAAGGGGTGGATCAGATGATCTTCTGAGAACATTTCAAGCTCTAAACTAAAAATGAAGGCAAAAGGGAAGACTGGGGAAGAAGGCACTTTTCAACCATTTGCTCATCAAAAGCCAGAGTCCTCCTTGCTTTGTTAATTCTTGCAGCAAACTCCTTCAGTAGCGGTAAAGTCAAGCAGTTCACCTGGAGAGGGCTGCTTTGCTCCTCACAGAGCTGCAACCAAGCCAAATACTAAAGAGTTAATTCAGATGGTATTTAATAATATAGAGGAGTAAACAAAATAAGAAAATTTAGTTGTTTCAGTAGTACCAGAAGAGATTTTTTAACTACACCAGCAGAGTGGTATTATGAATCCATTCTTGACTATAAGTCTCATTAACGAAGAACTGTGGAAAAGAAGACATGAACTCATGGTAAACTACATATTGCTATCCACCTTTAGATCAGAACATTTACACGCAGTATGTTTAATATTAAAATTAAAGATTTCTGATAAATGCATGTTTACAGGACCAAATTAGCTATTGTTTGTGGTAAAGCCTTTTTAAACAGAATTTCTTGCTATTTAAATCTTAGTCTTCTGTTCTCTACTCTTTCTTCCCCTAGCTCCTCTCTTTTTCTTTCTAACACTGAAATGTGGGGGAGAAAAATGAAAAGTGCACATCAGAAGGGAGTCACTTGCTGCTTTGGTTTTATTTTTTATTTTCCCATTTCTTTTTAATTTCTATTTTTGGCTTTTAAAACAAGCCTCTCTCCTCCACCCACTCCCACTTTCTTTGCAGAGAGCAGACTTCAAACTTCACTTCTGCTTCTAGGTCCTAAAGAGAAAGAAGGTGGGAGCGGGGTGGGGGGCGGGTAACGGAAAAAAGATCAATCGAGTTACTGCAAAATGCAAATTAACAGGTTTGCTCATTTCAAAACTCCCACATTCTGCCAATTTGAAGACATCTTTTCTCCCCCTCTTCTGAATGACTTAGCTCCCCAGACTCCCACGGAATTCAAGCCACAAAGGAGGTATTATACTGCTTACAGTTCTTATCTGCCTCTCTGAAGCGCTGCGCCAGCCTCTGGAAAGGTTCCTTCTGCAGGTTAATTGCAGCTTGGAGTTCCCAGAAGAGCATTTTCTTTTTAGGATGATCGCTCATCCACCGTCCCGGAACATTTCTCGGGCTCCTCTCTAGAGTCTAATCTCCTCGAGCCAGCTCCCTGGAGACGGTGAAACCCTCCTCTCCGCGGCGTGGACGCGGGGTGCCTTTCGTTGTGCCTGGAGAGCCTGGGGTTCAGCAGGGGCCCCGGCGCCCCCCAGGCTGTCTCTCTCTACTGCTGCGAAAAGTGAGCGCGGTCACAGAGTGCTCCTCAGTCCTCGTGGTCATGCGACCCTTGGCCCACGAGGTCTGCAACACTTCTTGAGTTACCTGATAATCCTCCACCCGCACCAGCACGTATTTGGGTGGGTCTGCTGGGTCCCGCGGCGGGGCTACACGCCTGCCAGAAATTCGCTTTTCTCGTTGAAAGACGTGAGAAGAGCAGCTGGGCTCCTGGCCCCGGTCCTCGCCACCCGCAAGAGGAGGGTCCTCTCCCTCGGCCATCGCTTCCCGTGCACGGTCCCCCCGAGTCCCTAACCACCTCTCTGGGTGCAGGAGAAAGAGCACTTTCTCTCTGACCCAGGACTCACGGTCCAATTCCTCTCCGGCCGGAGGTCCGAGGGTCCGACCTGCCGACCTGTCCTCGTGGCCGCCGCCCAGGCTTCGGCTCGCCCCGGCCGTCCCGGGATTCGGGGTGCCCGGAGCCAGCGGAGCCCCGCGCTCCACCTCGCGCGGGAAAGGCCTGCGGGAAGAGTCCGTGGGATTCGCAGCTCCCTGAGGCCCCCGGGTCCCCATCCTGGCAAAAGAGTCATTCATTCGTTCGTTCTTTGACCCGTTCAGGCCGCGAGCGCCTGCCGGGCTCCGGAAAGCGCGGGACCAGCAAGTCCTGGGTGTGACCCCTGCTGCCGCCCAGGACTCCCCGCCCGCGAGAGCAGGAGATTGGATCAGCCCCAGGCCAATCGCGCGTGGAGCCCGCCTCCCCGCGCTCCGCCTCGCCCACCTGGCGGCCGTCTAGCCATTCAGAGAGGAAGCTGACACAGGTCCCAGCCACCGCTTCTTCTTCCTACCCCTGTCCGGAGCCCTGCTCCCTTTGGCGTTCGCTGATTCAGCCTCCTCTTCTCACCTCTGTCCTAGTTTCCCACCCTCCTTTCGTTTTTCTCCGGAGCGGAGGCGCAAAGGGCACCCTCGCACTGCGCCCCCCTGAAATGTCCCGAAGTTTGCTTTCCAAGGACACTCCTTGAGGTGAAGGAACAAGGAAGTTTGTTTGCATTTTAATTATCTTATCTAATTCTAAAAAGTGTTTTGTGTCCACTCCGAATCCACTCCCTCCATGCTGCCAAAGTGATGGAATGTCGATCAAAGGGTCAGACTGAAAAGCTGAAGCCTTGGAGAAATTGGTTTTGGTTTCTTTGTCTTTATTCCTTTGGAATGCCAGGATCTGGAAGACATCTGGAGATCTGTCTCCCCCTCCCTCTCCCCCTCCCCCTCCTCCTCCTCCTCCTTCGCCTTCTCTTCCTTTTCTCCCTCTCCCTCTCAGTCCCTTAAGTAGCCGGGACTACAGTCTCTTACCCCCATGCCAAGCTTTTCTTTATGTTTTTATTTTCTAGAGATGGTAGAGGTGGCGCTTTCCTATATTGCCTAGTCTGGTCTCGAAGTCCTGTGCTTATGCGATCCCCAGGATCCCTACCCCACCCCCACACCCGCCTGGGCCTCCCCAAATTCTGGCATTACAGGCTTGAGCCACCGCCCTGGCCAGTCTTCATTTCGTTTGAAATGAACGCTTGTCTCAGGAAGGTGTAGTCTTTGATTTAAAACAAACTGTAAAACAGAAGCAAAACAAACATCCAAATGAATTTTTTTCAGGACTTAAAATTGTTTGTGTTTTTGTCGTTTATAAAATCCCCGCTGCACCCACCCGTCCTCTAACCACAGGGGTTAGGTATCTCTGGAGAGGCTTTCAGAATTTCATAGGCAGGCCCTCTGGACACACTACTCTTTGCCTAAGGGTAAGGGAGGTGGGGGGAGGGAGGCTAGGTCATAGAAAAAGAGCTCAGTTTGTGGTTTCCAGTTCATCCTTAGTAACATCCGCTTGTTTTACTTAAAAAAAAAAAAAAAAAAAACACTGTTGGCTGAGTATGGCGGTTTATGCCTGTAGTCCTAGCACTTTGGGAGTCTGAGGTGGGTGGATCACTTGAGTCCGGGAGTTCGAGACCATCCTGGTCAACATGGTGAAACTCCATCTCTACAAAAGGTACAAAAATTAGTTGGGTATGGTGGTGCATACCTGTAATCCCAGCTACTTGGGAGGCTGAGGCACCAAAATCACTTGAACCTGAGAGGGGGAGGTTGCAATGAGCCAAGATCACACCGCTGTACTCCAGCCTGGGCATTACAGCAAGAATCTGTCAAAAAGGAAAAGAAAAGAAAAAAAGAAAGAAAGAAAGAGAAAGGAAGGAAGGAAGGAAGGAAGGAAAGAAGGAAGGAAGGAAGAAAAAATCTAAATCCTGTCCAATTTAGAAAAATGAGTGCAATGGTGAAAAATTCTGCTCATATATAAAAAACAAAGTAGAATGGTGAAATATTTGGAAAGGAAGGACTTTTGATGTCTGCCAAATCATATAAAGAAATAAAGTGATAGAGGAGGAGTGCGAAAATCTGGGTCAGATCTGGCTGTTTAGAAGCCTAACCTTAGTGGGTACAGTGGCGCCTACTGGAATTCCCAGCTGCTTGGGAGGTTGAGGTGGGAGGATCCCCTGAGCCTAGGAGCTGGAATCTGGCCTGCACCATGTGAGACTCCTAACTCTTAAAACAAAAAGAATAAAAACAAAAACAAGAAATATACATGCCTGACCTTGGGCTGGGTACTGCTCAGTCACAATTAACTAAAATTTTTGAATGTTTTAGCCAAGAATTGTTCTAAGCACTCTGTATATTTAAACACATTTATTCTTCACAACAAACTGTGGAAGTAGTACTATTTCTTTGGTCTCCCTGAAATCTTTGAAGCACGAAGAGGTTAAGTGTGTACCCAAGGTCAAACACCAATAAACAGTGGAGCCAAGATTCTAATTTATTTAAATGCTTGCTCCAAAATGACCTCTAAATTACCTTCATGTTTTAAGCCTATGACTTCATCATCTTTTCTGTTCATTTACATAACCACTAATTACTAACTATATGCTACTTTTCTAGGTGATAGGCATCTGGAGGAACAAGCCAAATTCTTTACCCTCTTAGGTTTTTTTTTTTTGAGCCTGAGCCTTGCTCTTGTCACCCAGGCTGGAGTGCAATGGCACAATCTCGGCTCACTGCAACCTCGGCCTCCCGGGTTCAAAAGATTCTCCTGCCTCAGTCTCCCAAGTAGCTAGAATTATAGCCACCCAAACCACGCCTGGCGGATTTTTATATTTTTAGTAGAGATAGGGTTTCACCATTTTGGCCAGGCTGGACTTGAACTCCTGACCTAATGATCTGCCTGTCTCAGCCTCCTAAAGTGCTAGGATTACAGACATGAGTCACCACGCCCAGCGTTGTT